ACCACAGGCGCCCGCCACAATGCCTGGCTATTTTTTGGTTGTAGCCATCATTGTTGTTTGGCGGGCCCAGGCTGGATTCAAACCTGCCAGCTCAGGTGCATGTGGCTGGTACCTTAGCGGCTTGAGTCACAGGAGCACAGGCGCCGAGCCAGACATGACTTCTCCTGTGTTGATGTATCTATTATGGGAAATGGGTACTTTGACACTTCCTGCTTACTGGTATCTACCTTACAACACAAACATTGTAACCTAATTGTTTCTACCCTCATATTAATCTAAAATAAAAATTAAAACATCGTAAAAAAAAAAAAAAAACCCAACTGTACACTGAAGAGATTTAGGAATAGGAGTATGGACTGCCCCGAGGAAGTAAGGGCTTTAGAGGCAAAGGGTACGCTCTGAGGCTGGATGTCCAATAAGGCCAGAACCTGTTTCCACTGTGCTGGTCAGTGGCCCAAGCTGAGAGTACTGTCTTGACAGAGACTCTAAGACACAGCAGCAGACTAAAGGAAGCAAATTGCAAACACCGTGAATTCTGTTCTCTCCTTTCATCAGCCCCTCCTCATGTCTCCACATCTGTAGCAATGCATGCTCACAACTATGCAGAGAACACTATGACAAGCTAAGGATCACAGGTACATCAAATCACATATTTTATGTGTTAACATTTTTATCATATATTCAGAAAACACTATGACCTCAGAATACAGAGGAATTTCCAAAAGATTCTGGAATCACTACCTTGGGCATTCCCCTGACAAAAGCAGAGAACTCAAATGCAAAATGTTTTGGTTTTGTTTTTGAAACAAAGTCTCACTGTGTCACCCTTGGTAGAGTGCCATGTTATCACAGCTCACATCAACCTCCAACTCTTGGGCTTAAAGCAATTCTCTTGTCTCAGCCTCCCAAGTAGCTGGGACTACAGGCACCTGCCACAACGCCCAGCTATTTTTGTTGTTGTTGTTGTTGCAGTTGTCGTTGTTTAGCTGGCCTGGATCAGCTTCAAACCTGCCACCCTTGGTGTATGTGGCCGGTGTCCTACTCACTGAGCTATAGGTGCCGCCTGTTCTGTTCTGTTTTTTGAGAAAGAGTCTCATTCTGCTACCTAGGCTAGAGTGTTGTGGTGTCAGCCTACCTCACAGCAACCTCAAACTCCTGGGTTCAAGCAATCCTCCTGCCTCAGCCTCCCCAGTAGCTGAGACTACAGGCATGTACCACCACACCTGGGTTATTTTTTTATTTGTAGTAGAGATAGGATCTCACCTTGATTAAGCTAGTCTTTTTTTTTTTTTTTTTTTTTGAGACAGAGCCTCAAGCTATCACCCTGGGTAGAGTGCTCTGGTATCACAGCTCACAGCAACCTCCAACTCCTGGGCTCAAGTGATTCTCTTGCCTCTGCCTCCCAAGTAGCTGGGACTACAGGCACCCACCAGAACGCCTGGCTATTTTTTTTCTTTTTTTTTTGGTTGCAGCCATCATTGTTGTTTGGAAGGTTGGGCTGGATTTGAACCTGCCAGCTCAGGTGTATGTGGCTGGCGCCTTAGCCACTTTGAGCCACACATGCTGAGCCTAAGCTAGTCTTAAACTCCTGACATCAAGCAATTCTCCCACATAAGACTCCCAGAGTGCTAGGGTTACAGGCGTTATGCCACCATGCCCAGTCCCAAAACATGTTTTTAATATAACTTACGTGTGTAAAATAGGACAAAACAAGATGACCTAAATATAATAACAAAAGCACAGACACAAAAAGAAAAGATACAAATGGGATCTCCTCAAAAGTTAACCAACTTTGAGCTTCAAAGGACACAAAAGGCAAGGTGAAAAAGACCCAGAGAGGAGAGAAGACTTTTACAGATCATATATATGATAAAGGGAATGTATCCAAAATCTGGCTTGGTGCTCATAGCACAGTGGTTACGGCGCCAGCCACATACACAGCGGGTGGCAGGTTCGAACCCAGCCCGGGCCAGCTAAACAATGATAGCTGCTACAAAAAATAGCCCGGAGTTGTGGCAGGTACCTGTAGTCCCAGCTACTTGGGAAGCTAAGACAAGAGAATTGCTTAACCCCAAGAGTTGGAGGTTGCTGTGAGCTGTGACACAACAGCACTCTACAGAGGGCAACATAATAGGACTCTGTCTCAATTTAAAAATAAAAAATCCATGGGGCGGTGCCTGTGGCTCAGTGGGTAGGTTGCCGGCCCCATATATCGAGGGTGGTGGGTTCAAACCCAGCCCCAGCCAAACTGCAACAAAAAAAATAGCTGGGCGTGTGGCGGGCGCCTGTAGTCCCAGCTTAGGGACTACAGGGAGGCGTAGGTAAGAGAATCGCCTAAATCCAGGAGTTGGAGGTTGCTGTGAGCTGTGTGATGCCATGGCACTCTACTGAGGGTGATAAAGTGAGACTCTACCAAAAAAAAAAAAAAAAAATCCATGAAGAATTCTCATAAATTAACAACAATAAAACCTAATTAAAAATGGCAGCTACAAGGCTTCAGTGAACTATCATTGCACCACTGGATTCTATCCTGAATGACAGGGAAATACCTTGTCTCTAAATAAAAAATAAAAAAACATAAAGCACCTGCATATATATTTCTTCAAAGAAATATGTAAACAAACAAAGGAAAAAATGCTTGACATCATTAGGCATGAGAGAAATGCAAATTAAAAACTACAGTGACTCTGCAATTCAGCCATGTAGTGGAAACCATTTGTATTCCCAAATCTCTAAGTAAATAAGTAAATGAAAAAAACTACAATAAGACACTACTTCACACCTACTCATGGCTAGAATAAAAAATAAGTATTGCCAAAGATGTGGAGAAATCAGAATCTTCATGTACTTTAGGGTCTCAAAGAACTATTTGTACACCTATATTCATGTCAGCATGATTCACAACAGCCCAAAAGGTAGAAATAACCCTAGTGTCCATCAGTGGATCAGGGTACAAACACAATGTGGTCCAAGTATAATATTACTCAGCCATGAAAAGGAATAAGGCTCTGGTACAGGTCACAACATGGATGAACCTTGAGGGCATCATGCTCAGTGAGGGACACCAGACATAGAAGGACAAACAGTGTGAGATTCCATTTATATGAAATGTCCAGAACAGACAGATCCACAAAGACAGAAAGTAGAATTGAGTGCTAGAGTCTGGAGAGGATGGGGAGCCAGTGTTTCCCAGTTTCCCAGGGATGAGATGATGGAACTTTTTTTTTTTTTTAAGACAGAGTCTCGGCTCGGCGCCTATAGCTCAACCGGCTAGGGCGCCAGCCACGTACACCTAAGGTGGCGGGTTCGAATCCCCAGCCCGGACCCGC